TTTAAATCCAGAAGACGACTTAGTGAATACTCAATAAAGTACATAATCATTATCCAGTATATAATTATGTCCATTTTTACTTGTAATAGATGACTTTTCTCACCCACACTAATACCCCAACTGTTTACCATCACTGCCGTAAATCTAAAATACGTGAACCCAACCCACTAACGATCACCTACTTAACACCACCACTTTCAAGACACTGGTGCTTTGGTAGTCGTACTTGTACAGCAGTGAAGATTACACACACCAGACGCCTCCGTTAAAACAACCCCAAGACGCCACGCCGTAAGGTTAACTTCACCGTGAGCAATGGGTAAATAAACCCTAAACAACTTGTCGTTAAGTATCTTCTTGGCTCGATATCACATGAGCGATAAGATAAGTCTAATAATTTCATATCACTAATGGATATCCTGCGGTGAAAAAACTTGTCGTACCTGGTTCAATACAGCTCTACACCAATGCTCAATACACGCTCACTCGGGAAATAATTATTCATATCTATTCATCTTTATTTACAAATATAAATAAATAAAGATACTATAAATATGCTACCTGGTGAGAAGGTGAGTTTTCCATTATATGCCAGTGCTCATGCTTACCTGTCTATCTCAGTCTTAACGTACAGTACCTCTCAGTCTTAACGTACAGTACCTCTCAGTCTTAACGTACAGTACCTCTCAGTCTTAACGTACAGTACCTCTCAGTCTTAACGTACAGTACCTCACAGTCTTAACGTACAGTACCTCTCAGTCTTAACGTACAGTACCTCCAGTCTTAACGTACAGCACTACAGTCTTAACGTACAGTACCTCCTCAGTCTTAACGTATGCAATTCTCCTCAGTCTTAACGTACAGTACCTCACAGTCTTAACGTACAGTACCTCTCAGTCTTAACGTACAGTACCTCTCAGTTCAACGTACAGTACCTCAGTCTTTATCTATCAGTCTTAACGTATCTCACGCCTGCTATTGAGTGACTATAGAACCTGGTGGTGGTGGTGAGTGGTGGTAGTGGTGGTAGTGGTGGTGAGTGGTGGTGAGTAGTGGTGACATGTGGTGGTGGTGGTGGGTGGTGGTGGTGAGGAAGGGCATTAATTAAGTCTTGCTGCGCAGCCCATTTCCGCCCTGGAGGTTTAAACAAAGAGGTGTTATTCTTTCTTACAGAGCAGAAATATTAATAATAAAAATAGCGCAATAACATAAAGACTGTTTGACTTAGGTTAGGTTAGGTTATTTTGATTAGGTTAGGTTAGGTTTTGTTTGACTTAGGTTAGGTTAGGTTTTGTTTGACTTAGGTTGGGAAGTTATGTTTGACTTAGGTTAGGTTAGGTTATGTTTGACTTAGGTTAGGTTAGGTTTTGTTTGACTTAGGTTGCAGGTTTTGTTTGACTTAGGTTAGGTTAGGTTATGTTTGACTTAGGTTAGGTTAGGTTATGTTTGACTTAGGTTTTGTTTTGTTTGACTTAGGTTGGGTTAGGTTTGACTTAGGTTATGTTATGTTTGACTTAGGTTAGGTTAGGTTAGGTTTTGTTTGACTTAGGTTGGGTTAGGTTTGACTTAGGTTATGTTAGGTTAGGTTTGACTTACGTTAGGTTATGTTAGTTTAGATTTGACTTGCGTTTAATTTTCAGGGGAATTAGTAATGCACATCTATACAGTACTACTATATGTATGGCGGGAACATATCAGGAGACAGGACACACCTACACTAATAACTCGGGGTCAAAAGTTCGCTCCCGTCCAAAATGAAGCATCATCGACCCCTAATGAGATGAAACAGTCAGGATAAGTCAGTTCGGAGACTCATTCCCATGACTCGGGTTCACTACGGAGAGCGAATTATTATCCCTGATTATACAATTATCATCACAACCTCTACTTCAACTCGAGTCTTCACGGCCAAAATATCAAAATCACAACCTATACCGTAGAATGTAAGTAAATAACGCTCCTCAATAACTTCACTAAGGGACGCTGCTTTTAATATTTTGATTCATGCTATAGACGATTTTATTCAGCACAGAGAGGATCCCGCAAACAATTGGTTAAATAATGTAGTAAAACAAACGAAAAACAAAAGAACATCAACTTACACCGGGTACGTCACAGCTGTTTGTAAAGTCTTTGCCCAAAAACAGTATTTAGACAGATGGAGTTAAGGGGACTCCTGAGGCGAATGTATTACTGCGCTCCGAACAACTAACTGAGGTTTGAGGTTTACTGAGGTCGAATTATTATTTTAAGCAGCCCAGGTTTTTGTATTATGTAAAGGAACTTACACGCACCACCTAACCTAACCTACACGCACCTTACCCTAACCTAACCTACACGCACCTTACCCAAACCCAACCTAACCTACGCACCTTACCCAAACCTAACCTAACCTACACGCACCTTACCTAACCTAACCTACACGCACCTACCCTAACCTAACCTACACGCACTACCCTAACCTAACCTACACACGCACCTTACCCTAACCTAACCTACACGCACCTTACCCCAACCTAACCCACACGCACCTTACACTAACCTAACCTACACGCACCTTGCCCTAACCTAACCTACACGCACCTACACTAACTCAACCCACGCACCTTCCTAACCCAACCCACACCACCTACAACCAACCTACACGCACCTTACACTAACCTAACCTACACGCACCTCATCCTAACCTACACGCACCTCCAACTAACCTAACTTAACGCACCTTACCCTAACCTAACCTACACGCACCTTCACTAACCTAACCTACACGCACCTACTCCTAACCTCTACACGCACCTACCTAATCTAACCTACACGCACCTTAACCTAATCTAACCTACACGCACCTTAACCTAATCTAACCTACACGCACCTTACCCTAACCTAACCTACACGCACCTTACCCTAACCTAACCTACACGCACCTTACCCTAACCTAACCTACACGCACCTTACCCTAACCTAACCAAACCTAACCCAGCCTAACCTAAGCAAACCTAACCTAACCTAGTATAACGGGCTGAGGTCTTCACCAGTGATGTCTCTTAAGTTTTCTAGTCATCTCGCTCTACATGTATCAATTTAATTTTATTGCTCTCTCTCTCTCTCTCTCTCTCTCTCTCTCTCTCTCTCTCTCTCTCTCTCTTATATAAGGGTGTGGCATGCTGGGTCCGGAACACCAATTACCACTACGCCTCACGCAACACAAGCATTAAACCCAAAATAAAATAAACATTGTAGGGAATAGTTTTATATAAGAAAAATTAATATTATACACTACACAGTTAAATTAATCAATGGAAAGGTTAATTTAACACAGAGTAGAGGTTAAATTATATACCAGTGACATTTTCCCTAAGCGCCAGAGAGAACAATTTCATACAGCACAGACTACACTCACCCCTTTGGGACTCGAACTATCAGCCGCTGGGTTAGGAGACGAGTATTGTGTTCACTCAGCCATCGTGATCATACACAAGGCAAGGATTTCGGGACAACGAAATATAAACACAAATAAGTGACAAAGAGAGAAAGAAAGAGAGAGGAAGCGAGAGAGACAAATAACATAACATAAACATCAACCGATACATCAATAACTATTACTAACATTAACATACACACACACACACACACACACACCTAAATCAGTAACATACACACACGTACAACAGTAACACACCTATACCAGTATCATACACACACCTACACCAGTGACACACCTACACCAGTAACACCTACATCAGTAACACACCTACACTAGTAACACACCTACACCAGTAACACACCTACACCAGAAACAAACTTACACCAGTAACACACCTACACCAGTAACACACCTACACCAGTAACACACTACACCGGGAAACAAGCCTACACCCGGTAACACACTCACCAGTAACACCATCAGTAACACGCACCTGCACCAGTAACACCTACGCAGTAACACACCTCACCAGAAACAAACCTGCACCAGTAACACACCTACCGGTAACACACCCTGCTCCAGTATCATACACACCTACAACAGTAACACACCTACACCAGTAACACGCACACCACCAGTAACACACTTACCAGTAACACACCTACCAGTAACACACCTGCTCCGGTAACACACCTACAACAGTAACACACCTGCACCAGTAACACTTACAGTAACACACACACCAGTAACTTGCCTTACCATTAACGCACCTTTCACCGGTAACACCTGCTCGGTAACACACCTGCAACGGTAACACACCTGCAGTAACACACCTACAGCGGTAGCACTACTGCACCCAGTATTGCCGCAGTAACACACCTGCACCAGGCGCTTGCACCTCTCGATGGCACACCTGCACCAGTAACACACCTGTCGGTAACACACCACCAGTAACACACCTACACCAGTATCATGCACACCTACAACAGTAACAAACCTACACCAGTAGCTTACACCTACCAGTAACACACCAACACCATTAACACACCTGCACTGAGTAACACAACTACAATACTTACTATATTAACACACCTACACCAGTAACACACCAACACTAGTAACACACCTACACCAACACCAGTAACACACCTACACCAGTAACACACCAACACCAGTAACACACCTACACCAGTAACACACCTACACCAGTAACACACCTACACCAGTAACACACCTACACCAGTAACACACCTACACCAGTAACACACCTACAGTACGATCACCTATATATATAACATAGCTAGTAACAATCATCAAAATAAACAAGGTAACAAGGGCTCCGGGTGCTACCGCCGCTCGCGCTCCTAACAGAGCCTCTTAGTGGGGTGCCAGATGCCGCCAGCAGGAGATAAGCCCCCCCTAACACACCCCCCATCCCCCCGGCGGAGATAGAGATGGTCTCACTCCTCTTGCCAGCCTTCATTCTTGTTTGTTCATGCGTTAAAGTTTCTTATCAGATTATAGACTAACTAACATGCTCACATAAAGAAAAAATCCAAATTACTCTCCGACCTACCTAGGAGGTGTTCAGTTAGTCTGGCGACCTGTTAGAAGCTCTGTTGGTTCTGCCTTTTTTTTTCTTCCAGTAGATGAAGAGGCAGTATGGCCAACACTGCACTCGACCCCTTTGGCCTCCCAGAGTTAGGTTCCCATTCACAGCTGAGTCCGTGAGCGAGGACTAGTCAACCCTAAGGAAGGAGAAGAAAAAAGTATCATTCACTTGGCTGCTGCATCCAATACTTCACCTCAACTTAATCCAATTAATTCTATTACCTATTTTCAATCAATGTTCCCCAAGAAAGCTCAGACACATAAACAGAGTGACGATGAGGACACTAACACCTACAGTAACTTTATCATGGGTGGTTCCTGAAGTGTGTTAAAACCTTCTGCAGATACCAGTAACCCATCAGCTGAGCCTCACCCATAGCTGTGGGGTTTTGTTTTGGTGTTTATCTTAACATACTGTACATATTATTTACTCTTGTGCCTGTACTTTGGGTTTATGTTTATGCCTACAGGTAAACATTAGCTTATTGATACTCTCACTAATTAAATGGATCTTATTGTACTGCATAACTTAAAGTGTGCTTATACCTTTGAGAATGATGGTTAAAACCTTTTGAGGACGATGGTTGAAACCTTTGAGGACGATGGTTTAACCTTTTGAAGACGATGGTTTAAACCTTTGAGGACGATGGTCTAAACCTTTGAGGACGATGGTTTAAACCTTTGAGGACGATGGTTTAACCTTTGAGGACGATGGTTTAACCATTTGACGATGATGACTTAACCCTTTGAGAACAATAGTTTAACCTTTTAGTGACGATTATTTAACCCGCCAAGACTCAGAGGGTTAAATGGTTCACTACCGCTAAGGCCTACAGACGGTAGCCAATAGGACATCAGAATTGCACTAAAACGCTACCGTAGCTGGATAAAAAAATATATATATCCGAAGTTTATTTAGCCAGAATAATACAAAGTGAACGTCAGTAATATTGTCTTGGTCGAACCGTATCGATGCTGTAGGTCTCTCATCCCCAGTCCTGAGATAAATACAAAGAACAGAAAGTGACACGTATAACACAGGAGCCTTAGTGATGCTCCGACTCAAGGCAGAACAATACCTCAGCGTTTATACCAGTTAAGGTGACACTATCAGGACTTCAAGGTTAGCAGGATACTCTCTCTCTCTCTCTCTCTCTCTCTCTCTCTCTCTGTGTGTGTGTGTGTGTTTAAAGATTTACAGTATAGCTATAGCGCCCAAAATCAGTGTCGCCCGAACAGTGTTACACAATGTTGGCAAGTACTGTACTGGGCATATACGGGCTCCTCATTGTTTGTCAAGACATGACTTAAAAGCAGTTCACTCTGGCTGCTGCCCCAACAGTCCCTGGCCTGGCAGATTATTCATAGACTTTCTTTAACGTGTTTTAAGCATCAGTTCAGGGGTCCGAAGTTAAACGTCTAGTTTACACACTACAAAAAACAGTATCATGCCCACTCTGAACTCTCTAATTGTCCCCATGACTAACGCTCCCACACAACGATAATTATATCACACGCAATCAATTTCTATTAGAAAAACTTTGCTGAGATATAAAGTTACTCGGTATAAATCTGTTGTTTATTCCTGTGTTTGGTAGCGTGCAGTTGACACCATCATCAGCAAATCGATTTCATTTCACAGGTAAAGTTACCGTATATCTGCAAATTTGTGGATTAAACTTTAGACCAAATAATATTGTGTCGTTCCACCACTTGGGTGTACCTTGATAATCCAGGTTTAACCAAAAACCTTTACCAACGGAAACAGGTGATTACCAAAATCCTGATGACGAGGTTTTCCGCCGAACTCATTCTTGCGTCACCATCTTAAGCTGATAAGAAGGATACCGTAATAATGGTGATTCATAGTTAGGAAATGAATCACGAGCCTCTCTCTCTCTCTCTTCTTCTGTCTCTAAGGGATAATGTAACCTTAGAGCGTATTACTATTGCTCTAAATTCACGACATAATCAAACTTGGTGTGAGGTTGTGGTCCTTGTTCTTAGTTTACAACAAGGAAGAGACAGAAGCAGCTGCCACAATATAGTAGTAGTAGTAGCCATCAAGGTCGCTTTTATCCCAACACTAGTAAAAAAAAAAACAGCAGAAAAGTCACTCCTTGCACTACCACCGAGACTGGGAGGAATGGGATTGACTAATCCAGAGGAGTTTGCCGCCACAGAACTTTAGAACTCTGCCAAGCTCACGGCAGCCCTACTGAACACATAATAGCTCAGAATGCAACAAGTCAGGACCAACGAATTAAACTGCAACAACCGTAGCAGCAATTGCCAGAGAACTTGAATAAAAAGTAGCTATAGCGCAGGAGGTGGGAGCCTCGAACTGGCTAACAATGTTACCAATAAGGGCAAAAGGCTTCATCCTTAATAAACAAGAATTCACAGATGCCATTGTTTTAAGGTACAGTAGGCCAATAGAAGGATTGCCCTCCCAATGTGTGTGTGTGGCTCATCTTATGACATTGACCACGCCATGGTGTGCAAGAAAGGGGGCTTCGTATACATGAGGCATGACGAAGTAAGGGCTCTCACCGCAAATTTCCTGAAGGAAATCTGCCAAAACGTCATGGTGGAACCGCCCCTCCTTCCATTGGACGGTGAGAACCTCGGTCACAGGATTTCAAACACATCCACCAAGTCCGTGTGGACGTCAGTGCTCGAGGATTCTGGACGCGGAGACAGCGAGACTTCTTTGACATAAGGATTTTCGATCCCAAGGCCGCATGTCACAGTAACCTAGCTCTCGATGCTGCACACAGGAGGGACGAGAATGACAAGATCAGGGCATATGGGGAGAGAATTCTGAATGTTGATCAAGGCAGCTTCACTCCTCTGGTGTTCACAACCTCTGGTGGGATGGGACCAAGTGCAAGATGTTTCTATGCCATACTCGCGGAGGTGTTATCTGAACGGCAGCAGCAACCCAGAAGTTACGTTACAGCCTGGCTGAGATGTCAACTGTCCTTCACTCTGCTTAGGTCTGCATTGCTCTGCCTCCGGGGAACGAGATCTTCGGCCCCAAAGCTGATATTGACTATGAGGCAACAGTCACTGAATGCCGCATAGATCTGCGGCTCAACACAGCTCGGGTAGCTGCTTTTGTATTAAGTTATTTAATTTTAAGGTTATAAAATGGCGGCGAAGGTGTGGCTATTGGGGGAGGCTGGAGGTATTTATGCAAAAATAAAATAAAATGAAAGTAGTAGTAGTAAGAGCAGACGTTGATGTATGACAAAATATCAACTAATAAAACATAACCAAGCCTAACTTGTTCTAAATTCACCGAACTAACCTAAAGTAACGCATCCTTATTTAACCTAACTAATTTAATTTAACTTTCCCTGAACTGATTTAAACTAACTTAATCTATACGAATCTATCCTGACTAACCTCAGCTAGACTAGCATAACTTAACTTTACCTAACCTAACTAACCCAACTTAGCAGAGCCTAACTTAAGCTGGCTGAATGTAATCTAACTAACCTAAATGAGCATTAGACCTTAAAAGGACCTTAAGCAGCTGTGATACCGAGCAGTTCATTATTTTGGTGAAGCAATACTGCCCATCGGGGAGCTGTCTGGCGAGATACTGTCCAGTAGGTTATTGTATCGGAGGTTATATTGTCCGAGGGTTTTGTCCACTCACTAAAAGAAACAGGCAAGAACAACAATACCAGTGATGAGTTAATGGCTACAGCATGTGTGTGTGTGAGGGGGTCTGGGGTGTACCATTACCTCAACAGCTCTCCTTAACATCTACTAAAAAATGTCAACATTACTCACGCTTGGAGTGCAGTATCAGTTTCTAGCATAGTTATTCCATTGTGACTTCCATTATCACTCTTCTCTCACTTTTATTTTTCTAACTTACCGCCAATAAGATTGCGTATTATAATTAACTGTGACGCCTCACTTCAAAGCAGTTCTCAGTAGTTTAGGTTACGTAGAGTACACATCCACCTATTTTTTCCTTAATACGAACAAGGTTATAGGGCTAGCCTCCTGTTTTAGAGGTTGTTGGTTCACGCCCATGGCAACCACGGTCCTCCCAGCTGTGTATTGGTACCTAACTTTAAAGTTGAGGAAATGAAGAAGGCTGAGTGTAGTGCCTGCCACACTGCCTTCTTGAGTTACCACGGCTTTGGAGACTTGCCAGATATGTCTATATCCCACCCTTACGATAACTGTACGTCCACGTCTACGATACTTTACTAATCTTCTTCGCGCTCTTGGCAGTCGGCACGTCTGTTAGGTACAGTTGGTAAGTGCTGGGATAAGCTTTGGCTGCAAAATGTATCTGAACTTGTGTCGTTTTGGTCAAGTCCGGTACTGTCACAACACTCTCTGGCGGTGTTACAAGATTTCACAAAGGCAGCCTCGATATGTGGAACGGGTATCCACCAGCTCCAGATATGAACATTTGACTGAGTAATATCCTCTGAAGTGCTTATAAACTTCAATAAGTAGGTGTTCTAGTCTCCCTGGGTACCTGAGGTGCCGGAGTGCAGGCACCAGTCTGATGAACCTTATTATGGACATTCACAATTATCTGACAGTCTTTTGCACATCTCGGGACCGCACGGTATGGCAGTACTCCAACGGGGAAGCACCTCACTTTTGAAGGCTTAGTGTTATGGGGAAAGGACCATCTAAATATGTAAACGCCCTTCTTATAAGACCTACTAGCTTAGTTGCTGAGTTACCTTCTCACAATGGTCCGAGAACTTCATTTCTTTGTCAACATACACAATCACGTCCTTACTATTGGTACTACCTAGGTAAATTCTTTTGCATTTATTTAAATTGAATTTTAACAACCATTCCTTTGACCACTCCTGCAGCTGACAGAGATCTTCCTGTAGTTCTTTACAGTCCATTTTGGCTTTTAGTTTCCCTGAATAACTTATTATCAGTCGGAAACATTAGTATAGAGGAGTGTATAGCTTCTGGCATATCATTTATGAAACAACAAAGGTCCCAGTAAACTGCCCTGTGGTACCCCGCTTGTCACGGATACGCCTGTTGGTAGCGTGCCAGTAATCACCACACACTACTTGCGGTCATAAAGTCTTTAATCCATACCAGGACGTTCCCCTGAATTCCGTATCGCTAACTT